TACCAGACTACTATTGCTATTTTTGTTCTTTTAAAATATTTTTTTTCAGTATATAACCTTAAATAAAGCATGTTTTCATTTAAAATGTGTTTAATTTTAGAGATAATTATCTTGACATCGATTAGAATTTTGAATGCAAAAAAGGCTTTTGTAGTTTTTAACAGATTGGGCGAAGGTTATGACGGCAGTCATTATTTTTCAAAATAGAGCTAAAAATTACAAAAACAATGATATATAACATCATAATATTTGATAAAATAAAACATATTATTTTTCATAAAATCATTTTCTGAGTTTTGTTTTGGCTCTCCTGTAAAAAAAGAAGTTTTTGGTTTGTGGCCGTTTTGCATTCAATGAGCGATATATTATATTTTCATAGATGTATTGCGATGCCAGTGTTAAAATATTAATTTCTTTAAATTTTTCTCTAAGAGATTCTCTTGCCTTTAAATTATATATGGCGCGAACAGCTCTCTTTTGCAGTACGAAAATACTTTCTATATTAGCAGCTGAGCCCCACAACAAAAGGCCATATGACATAACGCTATGAAAGTAACCAAAGTAAACCATTCTTGCCGTTTCCACATCAGTTAGGAGTCTTATTTTTTTAACAGCGAAGGCCGCAGAGCTTAGTCTACTTGATAAGGCATCAATATGAGGATCCCATTGCAGATGCGAGTCTTAAGTAATACCCAGAAACTTTGTAGAATCCACTAACTCTACAGGCTGGTCATTTATTTTTAAACTAGTATTAACCTGCCTCACATTAGGTAAAGTAAACTTAACACATTTTGTTTTGCTAGAGTTTAGTTTTAAATTATTTACCGTAAACCAGTGAAGGACTTCAGAGAGAGCACAATTTACTTCGTCATAACAATCATTTCCTCTCCTAGCTTTAAACACTGAAGAGGTGTCATCAGCAAATAGTACTGTCTCACACAAATCTCTTGTAAAGTGAGGAAGGTCATTAATATAAATAAGGAAAAGCAATGGGCCCAATATTGAACCCTGGGGCACGCCCATAGAAATGGGTGCTCCTGTAGACTCAGCTTCATTTATAACTACTTTCTGAATCCTAGCAGAAAGATAAGACTGTATCAGACTTAGTGAAATATTTGATACACCATAATGCTTCATTTTATTTAACAATGTTTCATGGCTAACGCAGTCAAACGCCTTAGATAAATCGCAAAAAATGCCAATAGCATCGTGCTTACTCTCCCATATATCAAAAATGTGTTTGAGAAGTGCAGTTCCAGCATCAGTAGTACTTTTGCCTCTAGTGAAACCAAACTGTTTTAAATGAAGTAGCTTATTTATAGAAAAGTGTGCTAGTAATTGGTTATAAATTATTTTCTCAAATCCTTTACTTAGCGCTGGTAATACAGATATCGGCCTAAAATTGCTGGGATCTGATTTATCACCAGCCTTAAAAAGAGGGATAACTTTAGCACATTTCATTAGATCTGGAAACACTCCCTCATCAATACATTTGTTAAATATAATGGCCAGTTGTGGCGCAATGACAGTGATAATCGGTTTTATTATATATGTTGATATTCCCCATAAATGCTCTGTCTTTTTAATATTAATAGAATTAAATGTTTTTATAATACAATCACTACTGATATGTCTAAAATAAAAATCATTACTGTACTTATCAACACTTGACTCAAGGAGGGTCATTGCTAACCTAGAACAAGAATTAAGATTTCTAGTTGATTTAAACGGTGCACTAGAAAAGAAATTTTCAAAAGTGTTGGCAACGGCATCATCTGTCCGAATAATCTTGTTGTCTATTCTTAAAGAATATGTGCGTTCATTGAATTTATTTCTTCTTGTTTCATTATTAATTATATTCCAAGTTGTCTTTATTTTATTATCTGATAGACTAATTTTTTTTGATAAAAATTTAGCTTTCGCTATGGCACACACCTTTTTAAAAGTTTTTGAATAGTTTTTGACATATTCTATAAACTTAGGATCAGATGAGGTTGCTTTGAGAGCATATAATTGATACAATTTATTACTACTTTTGTAAGTACCAGGTGTGGCCCAATCACTAAATTTCTTTTTAGAGCTATGGCATTTAGTTAATTTGCGTTTGAATATTTTATTAAATTCATCTTTAATTAAATTGAATAAATCTTCATGGTAAGTCCGACATTTTATGATAAACACTATCTTTAAATTTATTTATACCCGTTTGTGTAATTGGTCTATAAGTTAGGTCATGTTTGTGTGAAGCATGATGGTGTTCAAGAGAGGCTAATTATCCACTGTGATCAGAATTAATACAATTTATTATTGATTTATTAAAAACTTTCCTATTACAAAAAATATTATCCAAACAGGTTGCTGATGCATGTGTGATGCGGGTAGGCTCAAAGAAGATATGCTCCAAGTTATATGATTTAAATAAGTTTAGAAACCTACCCACTAACGGATACTTAACTAAAATATTTATATTAAAATCACCACATACAACAAGCACTTTATTACATTTACATACTATATTGAAAGCGTCTTCCATAGCGGACTCAAATTGAGTGTAATTCCCAGATGGGGGTCGATATACACATATTATGATCATTTCATCAAGTTCCACACAAGATAGTTCAATATTACGTTCAACTGAAAGTGAAACAATATCTGAACGTTCTTTGTATTTAAGATCATTCTGTAAGATTATGAGAGAGCCTCCCCTGATAGCCGATTTCCTACAAAAACTACTAGCAACTGTATAATTATCTAAGTTCATAACTAATTCATAATCTCTGAGCCAGTGCTCAGTAATACATAATATTCTAATATTCTTTGCATTTAAAAATAAGCATACTTCTAGGTCTTTACCAGAAAAGCCTTGTATATTTTGGTGAACAATATTTAGGTATTTAGACTTTTCCTTGGTCATGTTGTAGCTAGAGAGTTCCTCTGTTGTCTTAAGAACTAATTTAAATTACAATTAATGTCAGTATTTGGAACAAATTCCAAGGTCTGATCTACATAATTATGCTGCTCAATAGAAGCAGTAGTGATAGCCAAATTTTTGGCTATGTGTGTAAAATAAAATAATAGCGAAGAAGCTATTTGTCTCTTATTGTAATACGAAAGATAATATTTATCTCTTGTCATTTTATAATTATATATTAATTTATTTATATCTATTAGATGTACTATATGACTATTATACTGAGTCATGGTACTTAATGCCAAATTTAGCCTATACCTAATATTATTTTCTTCATTTGATAGACTTCTACTATATGGAAATGTAAACATAACAATTCTATTTACATTTAAAGAACACAAAGAGTTATAGTAGGTCATAATGTCATTTTTGTTAATATTGCCTCTATTACACAATTAAACTTGTATTTTTGTCAAGTTCAAGAGTTAATATTTTTTTCATTAATTGGTGCATTGTGGCACCTGGCAAACAATAATTAATTATGCTTTTACCCAGCTGTTTTTTTAATAAGCAACCTAAATCTTTACCTAATTCGTCATACAACATTATATACTTCTGACAGTTACTCTGCTTAAAAGAATTACAACTAGTTGTGATCTCCGAGTGAACAGATTTAGTGATCATGGACTCACATACTATATCAGTGTCATTTTGTTCAATACTACTCTGGTTTGATACCAAAGACTGACACTTAACAGGTGTGTCTTCGTGAAGGGAGGTGTTAGATAGATACTTAAAGGCCAGAATGTATTCATCTATCTGTTTTTTGGAGTTATTATAATTCTGAGTCATTTTAGATAATTATTGCTGAAGGCTTTTAAACTTAATATTAAATGACTCCATATTTTGTTCATATGTTAATCTATTTTCTTCAATTATGGAACGGCAAATATCTAATTTTTGTAATAACTGTGTACGTTCTTTAATAAACTCAATATTTCTATAAAATATTTTTTCTTTATTTATAAGTTTCTTAGTTTTTAAAATATACCTTCTGACTTTAACATATCTTTTTAATTTGTTCTTACTAAGCTTAACAAGTCCCTTCCCGGCAGAGCACTGACATGAATTGTCAGAATTCAAATCATTTACACAGAGGTTAGTGTTACATTTAGGATAGATGGGCTGCTGGCACTGCATTAGAGGTCCTCCGGGTGATGCCATTAGTTCCTCAAAAAGACTTTGGGTATTTGCTGACTCTTGAAGCTGCTGTTCTTCCCTAAAATGGGCTATTTGGGTATTTGCTGCACTTAGCTCCTTCTCAAGGTCAGTGATGCGTTGCAGAGCCCTCTCATAAGTGCTGAACTGCTCATCATAGTGGCTGATGGTATCATTCAAATTGTCTCGTTGTAGTTGGACTTCTATGTGTTCAGTATGAAGATGCGATAGTTCACACTTAAGCTGCGTGTTCCTGTCTATGACTTTTCGAATTTCGTTCGTATAAATATTTGGTTCGTTTACAGGTAGATGTGTCTCCTGTGGTAGTGATCCCAGTGAGCTGCTTCTGGTTCTCTCAAACATACTGGGAAGAAGAATTTGTTGGTACATGTTTGGTGTTTTATTATTATTATTATGTTTTTCATTTTTATTATCTGTGTTTTCCATGAGGTTCCCACGAGTATGGGACGAAATTAGAAGGTCGCAAGAGGGGTGACGCCCATCCCCTCAAGAAGGCAAATACTCACGACTTTTGCCAGGTCAGTCGCGGTTGGCGCTATCGACTAGTTGCCTACTAGCCATTCATCCTTTAGGTACGTTTCCCACCATAGGATTAGGAAATTATTATAGAGAATATCTTTCTCGCAATCCGGGCGATTAAGCCAAGATCCCCGATCGCATATGCGGTTGCGGGTGGGTTGGTCATTTCCTACCATCCTCCAGTCGGACTTATCAGGTCTTCTATGTCGGGTTACTTGACCGCCGCCCGAGGCCCGGCGTTGTAATTCCTTTAGCACCACCCAGGAGGTACGTGTGGGGTAGTGGTTAGGTGTCTCCCACGGACGCGAATTACATGACCCTCCTTACTCCGGTACTAACGCGTCTTTTCCGGCTCTCTTACTCTTTAGGTGTTGTTCCGAACTCTTGGAAGACAGCTTTAGTGCACCCGATTCCTAAAAAAGGCAACCGCTCACTCCCTACTAATTATAGGCCTATAGCCCTGACCCATTTCCCGCGCCCATGGAACGAAGCCACAGTGATCCTTCTAAGAAAACCAGGAAAAGGAGATTACCAGCAGCCCAAATCGTATAGGCCTATAGGATTACTACCGGTGTTAGGAATAATATTAGAAAAAATGCTCGTAAGGCGCCTAAGGTGGTATATCCTCCCAAAATTGAATCCGAGGCAGTATGGATTTGTGCCACAACGCAGCACGGAAGACTCCCTCTACGACATGATCCAGCGAATCAGACAAAATCTCTCTGAAAAAAAGATTATCGCACTGATATCGCTGGACATAGAGGGGGCCTTTGATAATGCGTGGTGGCCACAAATTCTCTGCCAATTAAAAGAAAAAAATTGTCCAATAAATCTGCGAAGGCTGGTTGAAAGCTATTTACACGAGAGGATGGTAACGGTAAGATACGCAGGGGAGGAGTATAAAAAGAAAACAAATAAAGGCTGTGTGCAGGGGTCCATTGGAGGGCCCCTTTTTTGGAATTTGATCTTGGACCACCTGCTAAACGAACTTACCGTTGCCAACATATACAACCAAGCTTTCGCAGATGATATTGTTCTGGTAGTGGACGGAGACAGCCCCAGGGAAGTAGAAAATAAAGCTAGTGTGGCCCTCGCCATGGTCAAAAAATGGGGAGCGTCAAATAAAAAATTTTGCAGCACATAAGACAAAGGCTATGCTGATAACTAAGAAACTAAAGTATGACGCTCCGATACTGACCATGGGGGGAGAAATTATAGAATTAGTGAAAGAAATTAAAATATTAGGAATAATAATAGATGAAAAACTTACTTTTAATAGCCACATTAGCTACATATGTAAAAAAGCAATAAATATTTATAAGGGGATATCGAGGGCGGCCAAAACTACATGGGGTCTGAACCCAGAAATAATCAGAACAATATATTTAGCTGTGATAGAACCAATCATATTATACGGAGCAAGCGTTTGGGCAAAGGAGGCCAGCAAAATCTCATCGTCGAGTGACGTCACGGATGACATTACGCGGTGTTACGGTGTTTATTTATAAATTTAATATTCATATATTTACTTGTTGTATCAGTCTGTTAATGCTCGCTTTTTATCCTTTAGAGTCAGTGCCTCTGTGGTAGTGTGGGTTGAGTGATTTGCGATCTACTTTTGATATTTTAAAATAATATCAGAGATTGAATCAGTTTCATTTCGTGGCGGGTATCTGGGTATAACTTCGTGCCATCAATCACCGGCTCGTACTATAACTACAATTAAAAAGAAACAATTGTTTACATACAAAAATATATTTATTGTGGCAATAATTAAAATAAAAACTTTCAATTAGTTTCGAATTTAGTACACAAGACTTGCGATTGTGTCGCCATCTAGTGACATACGCTGGGAACTGCGTTCATTATTTATCTCCTGCATAAATAGCGTATTGCTGAGAGTGGATAAGGATGGTGAACTGCGGAGGTTGTAGGAAGTTCCTACCGGTGGCGGGTGGCGCTGCTTGCTCTCTGTGTCCTTTGAAGTTCCACAAAGCCTGTTTGAATATTCCAGATAAGGCACATATTAGTAAGGAATGGGCCTGTCCGAACTGTAAAAAAAATAACCGTAGGGGTGATAATAGTCAGACTCCCGTTAAAGACATTTGTGCCTCCCCACCGAGGGAGACTGCATCAAATGTGCCGCTCGAAGCTGCAGCAAATTATGATGTGTCAGTGAGCAGTGAGGAACGTCATCACCTCGAACTTGCTACATTTATGGCGGAGATGCGTGAGTTTCGGAGGGAGATGAACGAGCTCCGTGTGTCTCTGTCAACGCGCATTGACAGCATCGAGGTGAGGCTGGACGCGCTGGAGCGCCGCGAGCCGGACGGCGGGACTGCAGAGTTGGAAAGAACCATCGAGGAGTTGAAGCGTGAGCTCAATGATCGCGATCAAGAGGCGCTTCTGTCGGACCTCGAGATCGGTCAGTTACCGGAGGAGAGGGGTGTAAGCGTCCTGCAGTCCGTCACCGTCCTGGCTGCAAAGCTCGGAGTCGCATTAGAGCCGAGAGACGTGGTATTCGCGGAGCGCGTGGGCGCGCCGCCTTCGGAGGCGGGCGGGCGGCCGCGTCGCGTGGTGGTGCGCCTGGCGCGCCGATACCTGCGGGACGAGCTTCTCAAGGCCGCGCGCGTGCGCCGCAGTGTCGTGACATCTGCGCCCGCGCCCATGCCCGTCGACGGGGAGGGGACCACTACCCCCGCTGCCCCTGCGCCCGCGCCTGCCGAGCGCCGGGTCTACCTCAACGAGCGATTGACTCGATCGAACCGCCAGCTACATCTGAGAGTCCGCGAGGAGTGTCGTAAGCTGCAGTGGAGATCCGTGTGGACGAAGAGGGGCCGAATTTTTGCTCGACAGGCGGACGGTACCCAGGTTTATCAATTCCTGACAGTGGGAGACATTGCTCGTGTGCTTGGTTCCCAAAAGGCATGACTGGATATAGTCCTCACTCTACCTTCGGCTGCTTTCGGAATTACTTTTGCTTCTTTTTCGTTTTGTGTCAATATTCAGTTATTCGTTTTTGTTCTTTTACCTGTAAAAAAAGTAATTTTATTTTTTACTCTAATTCACTTACTATTTAAGTTATCACATGGCCCTGAATATAGTTTTGTTCTTGTGGCATTTCTCAATTTTACAATTGTTAGCTGTTTGTTTTTAGTTTATATCTATGTTTATTCACCAGTTTTAATATGTACTCTTACCAACTATTTTATCTGTTCACTGATTGTTTTTGCTCAATATGTTTATATCTGCAGTGCGGTACTTGTAGCTGTACTTCCTAATTATATATATCTATGTGTCATGTTCCTTTCAGTCTGTTCACTCACTTTTCCCCATTATTTTTCAATATACCTGTTTAACATTATTGATCATATTCTCCTTTTCCGCATTTTCATTAAGTATGCAGCAAATATAATTGACTACGATAATTCATTTCAGGACTTGATTTACTTTCCCCTCTCAAAATGACAAATAAATTTCTTAAGTTGGGTTTGTTTAATGCTGGGTCGCTGGACTCGAGACACGACGAATTCATATCTATCATGAGCAGGTTGTCTATTGATATTGTCGCTATAAATGAGACCTGGCTTAGACATGGGGAGGATGGCCGTGCTCCTATGGTGCCTGGTTACCGTCTTCGGTACTGCCCTCGACCTGTTTCTGTTCGTGGAGGGCGAGGGGGAGGAGTGGGTTTTTATATTAAAAAAAGTATATATGTGCGTACTTGCCCCATTCCTCCCACCCCTACTGTGGAGCAGATGTGGCTCAGTGTTAGGGTAAACTCTCTCCAAATCGCTATTGGCACCGCTTATAGGCCCCCCTGGATGGATCTAAATGTATTCCTTGATGCCCTGTCTCAGTCGGTGTGTTCGGTGGCTCGGCATGACTATATCACCCTGTTAGGAGATTTTAATGTTGACTTTACTAACTTTAATAATGCAAAATATAAATTACTATCATCTTTCTTGTAATCTTTTAATTTAATGCAAGTTGTCACTTCGCCAACTCATTTCACAGACCATAGTGAGACTCTGATTGATCTGTTTTGAACTGATGCTAGGGTACAGAATATAAATGTTACCCACATTCCTGAGCTTGGTAATCATGCTGTTATATCAGGTGAACTATGTGTAAAAAAAGTTAAACCGACCCCATATACTATTATAACCTACAGGCCTTTTAAAAGTATTTTAGCAGAGCAATTTGAGATGGATTTAAATTTAATTAATTGGAATAACATTTCAATACTCACAGATCTTAATTCCATGGTTGCTAGTTTTAATTCTTTGGTACTTCAATTGTTTGAGTTGCATGCCCCATATAAAACAGTCATCATTAGGGAACAGCCACATCCTTGGATTACTGACACTGTGAAGGAAATGATGAGTGTTCGAGATGAGGCATATGCTCGTTGGAAGAGTACAAAATGTGAATCACATAAAACATTTTATAAGGAAATGAAATCAATTGTAACCTCAGCCATATTTCAAGAAAAAAAATGTTATTTCAATCAGCATATAAATAAAAACATAAACAAACCAAAAATATTATGGAATAATCTAAAAAAAATATTTCAATAAAAAATGTCAAAAATATACCTATTCCTTTTGATCCAGATGATATTAATGACCACTTCTTGAATGTGCCTGGTACCCCATCAGTAGATATTTCTAAGCTGACCTACTTTGAATATCACAGACGCGGTGATGCCACCTTTTCTCTTTCCTCTGTATCTGAGAGCACTGTTGCAAATATTATAAAGAGTCTGCATTCTGATGCTGTTGGAGTGGATGGCATATCTTTACAGATGCTTGTCATGACTCTTCCACAATCTCTTAGTGCAATAACATCCATTGTAAATAAATCTTTAAGTGATGCACAATTTTCTGACTTTTGGAAAGCAGCTCTAATTAAACCTATTCCTAAATGCACGAATCCATCCAGTGTTAGCGATCTTCGACCAATAAGTATTCTGCCTTGTCTGTCTAAAATTGTGGAGAAGGTAGTGTGTGATCAGATAGTGAAGTATTTGTAATCCAACTCATTGCTACCCCAGCTACAGTCAGGTTTTCGAAAAAAGCACAGTACATCTACGGCTCTCCTTAACGTAGTCGATGATATTCTGTCTGCGCAGGATAAATTCAAATTCAAATTCTGGTGGTGCTCCTTGACTTCTTACGTGCCTTCGATTCTTTGTATATTCCATTACTTCTATCAAAGCTTTCTTACTTTGGATTTGACGCTGCAGCCGTACGATGGTTTCACAGTTACCTGACAAATAGGATGCAAACTGTGGAGGTGGTAGGTGGAAATGGGTCTGTATTCTACTCTCAGTGTCGTGCAATATGCAGAGGTGTCCCTCAAGGGTCCATTTTGGGTCCCATTCTGTTCATCATTTATAGTGCAGATATAGCTGAAAGCATAAAACACTGTCAATTTCACTTATATGCTGATGACGTGCAGCTGTATCGGAGCTGCTTTCCTAGCGATACTGGTGAATCTGTGGATAAGATTAATGACGACTTAAATAAAATACTTATCTGGTCACATGAGAACAGTTTAGTTCTCAATCCATTGAAGACTAAATATTTTATTCTTGGCTCTAAGAAACAGGTGACTAGCATCATGTCAAATGACCCTCAAATTTTTGTTAATGGTCAGTCCATTGAACAGGTATCAGAGGCTAGGAATCTGGGAGTAATTTTTGAATCAAATATGAATTTTGAGAAACATGTTCTCGAGGCTGTTCGAAATTGTTTTTACCGTCTCAAGGTGGTATATAAATTTCGCCCTTTTCTTAGTGAGGATTTAAGAATTCGTCTGTGTGAAACATTGGTCCTGTCCAAACTTAACTATGCTGATGTTGTTTTTGGCCCATGTCTGCTAGCTAGAACTGAACGTCTCATTCAACGTGTACAAAATGCATGTGCGCGTTTTCGTTTTTCTATTCCATCTAGGGCCCATATTACACCATACTTGAATAATTCCAATTTAATGAGGATGGGCTCTCGTAGACAATTGCATTTTGCCACACTTTTGTTTGATATAGTACACTCTCGAGTGCCGGAGTATCTTTACTCTAAGATTAACTGGGCCAGAGATAAAATGTTTCGTTCAAGAGCTGCCACTTACATGATACTCACTCCCGCACATAGAACTGCTGCTTTTCGTGGCTCATTCAAGTACTCAGCTTCGAAGTGTTGGAATAATTTGCCACCCCCAATACGTTCACTGAAAACACATGACACATTTAAAAATAATTTTAAGTTGTTCTTGTTACAGACACAGGTGCAGCCCGTTTAATTATCTTTTCCCTTACCTTTTAATTTATTTTCAATAAATATATTGCTTTTTGTAACAGCCGAATCTTTTCTTTTCATTTTTTGTATTGCATACGTGTCACTGTCACTAAAACTAAGGGTCAAAGTCCATCTTTATTTTTATTATTTTTCTTTATAAATAACCACAGATTACCTCTGTTACAATATATAATTTCTGCCACAGATACTGCTATGTGTTCTGTCCTATACTGATTTCTTTTCTTTTTTGTTTTGTTATTTAGTATGTACTTAATCTGTATTTTACCTTTTTCTTTTCTGTGATGTCACTGCTCTGGGTATGGCAGAATACCAGTGCAGCAGGAATTTTTCCTGCTGTGTATGCTGAGTCATATCCAGTGTTGGCATCACATAAAATACACATTTACCGTCTGTAGCTGTTTTTTGTTGTTGTTAATTTTACTTGTACGTTTTGTTTTACTTTTTGTTATATGTATTTTTGATTTTATGTGTATGTTATGTGTTGTCAGCAATAAAAACATTTTTCTTTCTTTCTTTCTTTCAAAATTATTAGTATTAAGAAATTGAATGTCGTACAGAGGAGTTTCGCTCAAAAGGTAGCCAAATGCTACAGAACGGTGTCGCTCAACGCTGCGCTAGTGTTATCGGGGCTTCTTCCGCTGGATCTTCGGGTCCATGAAGCATCACGGCTTTATGAAGCCAAACGTGGAAAGCCCCTGGAAATACTGTGCGGCAGACAGGTGGAAGAAAGGGTGTCCTTCACGGAATCGGACCACCCCGGGAGCAGCAGTGTGATAGGCTTTGAGTGTGTGGAAAACGCGGAGGAGGATGGCAAAATAGCAGAAGGCCTTGTGAAGATCTATACAGATGGTAGCAAACTGGAGGGAAAGGTAGGAGCCGCCCTGACCTGTTGGAAAGGGCAGGCGGAAATCCTTTCCCGAAAGTTTAAGCTGGAGCCATACTGTACAGTATTCCAAGCCGAGCTGTATGCCATCCTTCGAGCCACGGAATGCGTGCTAAGGAAAGAATGTAAGGAGGTCGCCGTGCTCAGCGACTCGAGATCCGCTCTGCTGTCGCTGGCTGATCCAGACTCCTCGCACCGGATCACAAAGGCAATACAGGGGAACCTGGTCCAACTTAGGGAAAACGGAAAAACCGTATCCCTGTATTGGATCAGGGCCCACGTCGGTGTGGTCGGGAACGAGAGAGCGGATGAGCTAGCGAAGGGAGCGGCTCTCGGGTTGAAATGCAAGTCGCACTATGACAGCTGCCCCATCTCTTTTGTCAAGCGACATTTACGCGCTGAGACAAAAGTAGAAAGTGGCAGACGTTATAGGGGCGAAAATACGGCGGCCACAACAAAGGCATTTTTCCCTTGGGTGAAAAATGCCTTTGGAATAGTAAGGAAGATTGAGATTGACAGGATTGCTGCTCAGATACTCACGGGGCATGGAGGTTTTTCCGCCTACCTCCACAGATTTAAGAAGTAGGACAACCCTAGATGCGTTTGCGACCTAGGTGCAGAGGAGGACATTTTCCATGTCCTCATAGAGTGCCCCCTGTACGGAACACACAGACACACTTCAGACACGCATAGATACACAAATCAGTAGGGACACACTAAGAGAAATTATCAAAAACGAGAAAGAAAGGAAACTATTCCTAGAGTATAGTCGTGAAATAGTACAGAAAGTAATAAAAAGAAATAAGGATTAGTAAAGGAAGCTTCTCAATTATAAATAAAAAGTAGAATTGAAGTGGGGTTAATTTATTAATGTTAAATGTAGTATAAAATAAGTATAATAAAAATAAGAAATAAGTATATAAGGAAGCAAAAATGTAAAAGTCATAGGATATAAACAAACAAGAAATGTATGTAAAATAGATACAAGAATTTAAGAAATGAGTAAAACAGAAATGTTATCATTAAAGCATAACTTAGAATAAGAAGAACATATAAAATAATTAAGAAATATATATAAATAAAGAGAAGATAAAGACCTGTCACAAAACGGGGGTAGCAGTATAAAAAAAAAATAGACTCCATTATCTTGGAGAACAAGGAGGTGATGGCTATAGGCCTATAAATAGTAGGGAGTCAGCGGTTTGCATTTTTGAAGTTATACTTCTTTAGGCGCGTTATGAAAAAATGATGAGAGTGAAATTTTAAGATGCGCGCGCATCACTGTAACACAAAATTTTACTTTTGTGTTTACCGCACATTAAGAAAATCTACCAACAAAATAGAAATAGAATCTCTATTTAGTGGGTGCTAACGACTGCATTGTGAAGGCCTATCAAAAGTATTTATTAATCTGGAACAAAGGAACCAAAGCGCGATTCAGGAGACTACAGCGCCATCTCTTGACCATTGGTGTAGTAGAACCAAAATCCACATCATTATTTTTTGTAATAAAGTAACAGTTATAGGTATTCATATTTATAATATCAAAAGTATTTATTAATCTGGAACAACGGAACCAAAGCGCGATTCAGGAGACTACAGCGCCATCTCTTGTCCATTGGTGTAGTAGAACCAAAAACCACATCTTTATTTTTTTAATAAAGTAACAGTTATAGGTATTCATATTTATAATATTTATCCACATGTTTCTAGTTTGTATATTCGGAATACGTGTTTGAGGTTCATACAAGTGCAAATCACATATGTTCTAATAAATTATATTCAGTAGCGATTTTAATTGAATATTTTGATTATTTATTTATTTTTTCAAATTAAAACTGAACTTTATTGACTGTGTCCTTTTCCAGACTTTTTATTAATTTATTGTAATTAATTATTTGCATGCAATTAAAAACTAATTTTAAACGATGCCAAAGAAGGATAACTTCTCATGCGCCTACATAAGTACACGCACCCATTTTTTAGGAATCGGGTGCACTAAAGCTGTCTTCCAAGAGTTCGGAACAACACCTAAAGAGTAGGAGAGCCGGAAAAGACGCGTTAGTACCGGAGTAAGGGGGGTCATGTAATTCGCGTCCGTGGGAGACACCTAACCACTACCCCACACGTACCTCCTGGGTGGTGCTAAAGGAATTACAACGCCGGGCCTCGGGCGGCGGTCAAGTAACCCGACATAGAAGACCTGATAAGTCCGACTGGAGGATGGTAGGAAATGACCAACCCACCCGCAACCGCATATGCGATCGGGGATCTTGGCTTAATCGCCCGGATTGCGAGAAAGATATTCTCTATAATAAATTCCCTAATCCTATGGTGGGAAACGTGCCTAAAGGATGAATGGCTAGTAGGCAACTAGTCGATAGCGCTAACCGCGACTGATCTGGCAAAAGTCGTGAGTATTTGCCTTCTTGAGGGGATGGGCGTCACCCCTCTTGCGACCTTCTAATTTCGTCCCATACTCGTGGGAACCTCATGGAAAACACAGATAATAAAAATGAAAAACATAATAATAATAAAACACCAAACATGTACCAACAAATTCTTCTTCCCAGTATGTTTGAGAGAACCAGAAGCAGCTCACTGGGATCACTACCAAAGGAGACACATCTACCTGTAAACGAACCAAATATTAAAGATAAACAGGACAATACAAACAAGGATGATTGGCAAAGAGACAAAACTCCAGTTAGCAGATATAAAAGGAAGGAAACGAGTCCAAAGCCGAACAACACAAATAGAGCTCTCACACCGCAGGATGGTCGGCGGTATGTATCCCCTGTCATTTAGAGTCGAGTTAGACGCAAAGGGTGAGCATAAAAGATCCGCTTTCTCTTTTGCAGTATGGGCCATTGATTCGTCGCCATTGTGCAGGGGTGGAAGGGATGGCTTACAGAAATTTCCTTCAACAGCCTTGGCAAGAGACCAAAACGCGCGTGTTCCAGAGGGAAGTTTTATTAATCTCTCGCCAATGCTGCTAATGTGCTCCGACTTCGCTCTGGCAATTACTCTTTTGCAGGACTGGACTGGAGTCTATTATAAATTACCAGCTCCTGCGGTACCTAGAGGACCACCAGCTGATCAGTGACCACCAGTACGGTTTCCGTCAGAGTCGCTCGGCTGGTGATCAACTAGTATACCTGACTCATCGTTGGGCAAAGGCGATCGAGACCAAGGGGGAAGCATTGGCGGTCGGTCTGGATATCGCGAAGGCCTTCGATCGGGTTTGGCACAAAGCGCTTCTTTCGAAGCTTCCTTCTTATGGGCTTCCTGAAAAGCTGTGCGGTTGGATCACTAGCTTTCTTGCGGACAGGAGCATCAAGGTCGCAGTCGACGGTGCATGCTCGGACTCCAAATCCGTAAACGCTGGTGTTCCACAAGGCTGTGTGCTATCGCCTACGCTGTTTCTTCTTCATATCAATGATATGCTTCAAATTGATGGCATTCATTGTTATGCAGACGACAGCACGGGTGATGCCCTATATACCGGCCGCGTCAACATTTCATGGGAAAACGTCATCGAGTGCCGGAACAAACTTGTGCCTGAAGTCGAAACTTTGTTAAACCGAGTAACGAATTGGGGCCGACTTAATCTAGTTCAATTTAACCCTACGAAGACACAAGTATGCGCGTTCACCGCAAAAAAAAACCATTTGTCGTATCTCCTCTTATTGAGAACACTCCTCTAACTGCCTCAGCTAGTATTGGAATTCTTGGCGTTGGCATATCGAGCGACGTCCAGTTTCGGGATCATTTAGAGGGCAAGGCCAAATTGGCCTCTAAGAAGCTTGGTGTGCTCAATAGATCGAGAATGTATTATAAGGCGCAGGTTCGGCCTCACATGGAGTACTGCTCTCATCTTTGGGCGGGGGCACCCCAGTACCAGCTTCTCCCTTTGAATCGCATCCAGCGCCGAGCGGCTCGAATAGTCGACGACCAGGACCTTTCCGATCAGCTTGATCCTTTGGCTTTGCGTAGGGATGTAGCTTCGCTCTGTATCTTCTATCGCATTTATCACGGGGAGTGTTCTGAGGAATTGTTCGGATTAATTCCAGCTGCTGCATTTCGCCATCGTACATCGCGACAAAAATTTCATCCCCATCATCTTGATGCGTGGCTATCCACAACCGTGCGTTTTTGTCGAAATTTTTTACCACGTACGACAAAACTGTGGAATATGTTGTCGCCAGCAGTGTTTCCGGACCGATACGACCCAAAAACCTTCAAAAAAAGAGCGTACTCCTTCTTTAAAGGCCGGCATTTGTGATACTCCTGGTGTTGCAAGTGTCCATGGGCGACGGTGATCACTTACCATCAGGTGAGCCGTCTGCTCGTATGCCCCCTATAACATAAAAAAAAACTTCTTCTTAGTCGCTATCCTAATTGCTGAAGGTCGTGTCTAACTCGAAATGTTAACCACCTGATGTACTATGCCTCTCCACGCATTCCTGTCCTCGGCAGTCTTTATAGCCTTGGTTATTAATAGGCCAGTGAGCGACTTTACTAGGTCTGACCAGCAGGTAGGCGACCGACCGCGTGATCTTCTCCCGTCGACCTGGCTAACCACTATCAGCTTCTCTAGGCTATCAGGGTTTCTGCGAGCGATGTGTCCGAAATACTTAAGTACGTTTCTGTCGAAATTTTTTACCACGTACGACAAAACTGTGGAATATGTTGTCACCAGCAGTGTATCCGGACCGATACGACCCAAAAACCTTTAAAAAAAAACGTACTCCTTCCTTAAAGGTCGGCATCGCATTTGTGATACTCCTGGTGTTGCAAGTGTCCATGGGCGACGGTGATCACTTACCATCAGGTGAGCCGTCTGCTCGTATGCCCCCTATAACATAAAAAAGGCGTGCGCTAAGAAAGAATTTTCCAAAATTCGCCAGCTAAAGGATAAAATAGGTGGATAATATACATTCCCCTATTTTACCCTTTAGCTGGCGAATTTTGGAATATACCTACGCAGACAAAATTACGAACACTCACTTGTATAACATGCATTACTTTAGCGATAAATAAATACCTTATAGGGATGAGCGTATTTAATTCAAAATAAAGTTATATAAGTATAATTATGTTGTAAAGAGTTGTCCCGCAAACAAACAAGACGAGCTTTTATTCTGCTCAAAACAATTTTTAGCCTACAAAATTTCTTATCTGTCGTTTGCCAAGTGACATTGCTTTTGTTCTTGGTCCCTCGTCGTCGCAACATCTCGCTTCTTGGGATTGATATTAACATTTTCTTCATTAAGACAACTCAAATATACTTTTGCTTTTTCGTTGTATTCATTTTTTTGTGATTTACACTCATGTTTTTGTTTCTCTAGCATCACGAATAAAATTATCAGAATGTTGTATGCTAAGGAAAATTTAAATTTGTCAAAACAAATAAAAAAAATCTTTAAAAAAAATAATAAATTTGGTACAAACGGAATATGAGCATAGACTGTGCTTTATATTATTAAAATATCTTACTTCGTCCTTATGTTGATTGAAGGTATGTGTCAACATAGTAGCGTGCTTGCTATTTTTGAATATTTTCGACTGCTACGTTTTATAGCTTTATGCTTTGTAGACATTTAGTTGTTCTACATTAATAAAAAAAAATGATGTTTATTATGTAGATTACACCAGAAAACCCCTTTTTAAAAGCTTTTATATAACTTGCAATGTATGTTTGTTCGGGTGGAATCTTGCAACTCGATTTTGAAGCAAGTGTCTTGATTCAATTGAGCTGAAATTTTGTACACACTTTAGTTTTGGGTGTCAATGCATGGTGAGCTGTCTAACGTCATTGTAAATCCAATAGCGGAACATACAAGATGGCAGACTAGTTATTTTTGATGCATTCCTAGAATATGGGTATCAAATGAAAGGACTTGCTGAGAATAACTCGAAAAATAAAGTGACGTCACCTTAAATAATATGGCGGACTGAAAAAGTTGGCGGATTAAGTTTTTTGTGATTTCCGACAATATTTTTATCAAATGAAAACACTAACTGGGAATATGGGTTCGCTAGCTAAAAAGTAAAAACTAAATTAAAAGTAAAAACAACTTTTTAAAAACGATCTTTTATTTAAATGCGCTTAATATAATATTATTCCTTAAACTTTTACTCATTACACAATTTATATAATATAAAAGCTTGTCACCAGATTTAAGTAGGTACTGGTAGGTTTAATAAGTATTAAAATCAATCCGATCAAATTTTGTTTATCAACACAAGTAAATTTTGCGACAAGCTTTTATATTAACTATAAAAAAAATTAAAAAGTGTGTAATGAGCATAACTTTAAGGGAAAATTTTATTTCATTATTTTTTTAGCGCATTTAAATAAGAGCCAGTTTTAAAAAGCTTTTTTAATAATTTAATTTTAAGTTTAATTTTTTTTTTATTTTTCAAAAATAAATATCTCATTAAGCCAACTAGCTATCGAATTCAATTAAAAACTGGCAGTATATATTAACAATAAGCTTTACTATGGTATATATTTTGTTTAAAGCACTTGGCATCTGTACCAACCCCCCATACAGAGTGGTTGTTCTCCTTTGAACTGTCTAGCAATTACGTTTCTGTTTGCCAATGAAATTAATTTCATTTCAGTATGGAAGCGATTTTGTCAGCCAAAAGTGGCTGAAATCAATTTCGTCAATTCCTATGCAAGCCTTTTTCTTGGGGTTATTCCTTCTTCTTCTTCTTTTCCCAATCTCCATTGACTTGCCCCATCAATGGACGGTGTGTATACATATACCTACTTACTTCAAAACAACTTGGAGGCACAATGATAAATATATGAAACTAGCTGACCCAGCGAACTTCGTACCGCCCTAAAAAAATAGGGGTTGTCCAGCGGACAAAATTGTGAATCTAAACCATTCTCAGATCCCCTTGAACACACACAAAAAAATCATCAAAATCGGTCCAGTCGTTTAAGAGAAGTTCAGTGACATACACACTCACAGAAGAATTATATATATAAAGATATAAGATGTCTAATGTCAATAAACTTTTTTTGTTTTGAAGCTCTTTTGCCACAATTTAGTTTTTCTTAGTACTTTTTTAGTCTTTTACTATATAATTCATAAAAATGCGAAAACTTTTGCTGTAAACGCGAGGCAGCAAGATCAGGCTTTTATTATTTTACATAAGGCTTTCTGACTAGCGTTTTATACGCGCGTATAAACTCGTTTTTGAAAGCGCAGGTAGGCGCGTATAGGCGCACCTTTTGCCACACGCGTAACTCGTACGAGCGTTGATGCGCTTGTAAACTCGTATAACCGCGAGCCGCGGGAAACACCACTACCGGCTCGAGCGCACACGCCGAAACATGCCCGTTTACGCGAGTCCGGTTTTTTGAAGCGCGTAATGTAGCGCTCGTGTAATACGTATGCCAAAACAACATATACGCGCAAATAATACACTAATCCAAAACCGCCCTAATATATTTCTTTCTTCGTCGAATCCTGAGAAATATACAAGCATATTTTGAAAATGAATTTTATTTTTTACTTTCGATAAAATGATACTTTATATCAATACCCATTTGGTTACATTTGTACGATAACTAAAACGAGAGTTTAATGGTGCCTAAAACTTCAATCAAGCGTTTAGTCCTAACCATTGATTCTATCATATTTTCTTTCTAGGAAAAAGTAAATAATGGAACAGAACTAAAACAATTGTATTAAAGAAAGCTCAAATGACTAAAGAGTCGGTACGCTTGTGAATAAATCTTTGGGGTCAGTGGGGCTCAGGATGGCTTTGCCAAATTGATTTTACGTGTATTGTGGACTCGGCCGTCGGTTTTACTGTTGATGTCCCGGGTATATACAGGATTAGGATTCAACTAAACTAAGCTTTAATCTTTGAAATGTTACTTGTTTTAGTAAACTCAAAGGATAGAAATACTACCTAATGTGTCTCAAAAACATTTTGATTTTTTCAAGATACAGTTAATTGTATTCATTAACGGACAACGCACATTGTTTACGTTTAGTTTTATTTTTCGCCTGAAATAGTGGTGGCGCCGAGTTTGATTTTTCTTTCCTTTAGATATAGCCCCTACCTACACTACGCATTAGTATGTTTAATAAATGGAGATGCAAGAATTTGTTAGGCAGGAAAAGATGAGCCAACAACATCTTCGTTTTTTACAATACGTAACTGTACAAGCTAACTTATTAAGATCTGCTAGTGATGACGTTGCCGATTTTAATTTCTTAGTTTTTGACTTAGTTAAAAATAGAAGGCGTTTGTTAGTTAATTTTAATGCAAGCATATTTTGAAAATGATTTTTTATAAATTAATTAGGTTGCTTTTAATAATCTTATTAAGTACTTATTACCTTTTCTAGTTGTCGATATGAAAGAAATGAATTCTCTAAATAAGAATTGGCAGTGACGGACGGTGCTGAGGAGTAAATTTTTCACTGGAATATTCGTTTCCGCATTCTCATGTTGGCACACCGGCGAATTAATTCCATTTACTAGCTCGCCAACAACCGAAAGGGCGGGCTGCGGCGGAAACGAGAGAAAATCTCTCACAAATTGCTTCTCGATTTCACTCCCTACGATCAGGTCGACATAATGGAGAAAATGTTTGTTACCTTCAGAAGTCGGTGAAAGCATAATTGCGACTCAGTTTTACCGTCGTAATGTGTACCTACATATTACAAAGTTTTGTTTTTTCAGATCAGCAGATTCATTTTGTAAAATAGAATTTCACTTGGAAGCTTTGGTAGTGAAGTAAATTCACTTCTTTGTTTTCCATTAAGGATCCAATTTAACTTTTTTAATCACAGATGTCATAC